AAGAAGCACCCATGGCACTTGACTTACCCCGCGTCTGAAACTCTTCGAGCAGGAGTCTGCCTCCGCCACTCTGCCGCAAAATTGAGTGCATCTCTCTCGTCTACCTCCTCCTCTTCCTCTCCTCACTCCTCTATTTCCACTCCCCCCTCCCTCCTCCTCCTTCACCTGCAAGAGCAACGCTATGAGTGTTTCCGAGATCGAGCAGGAAGAGAGAGGCGCTTCTGCTGCTGAAGGCATCAGGGAAACAGCAATCTCCTCCTCCCCTCCTCCCTCCTACCTCACGCCCTTGACAACTTTAGGAACAGTCTTCTTCGTGAGATCGCCGTGTCCAAGTTCACCTTTCCTGTTGGCTCCCCACCTGCCGCACAACTCACTCAGCTCACGCTCCTCGCTCTCCCTCCTTCCACTGGCCCTTTCTGCTCCTGTCCGTCCTTTTCATCCCCCCGCCCTTTCTCCTCCTCCCCCCTTTCCTCCTCTTACGTGTACAGGCAGTTGTACTGCTCAACACCCGTCCCCTGCAAGCTGGAGCTGATTGCACCAGAGCTTGAGCCTCCAGCAGCGAGGAGGAGGATTTTCTTGCCCTGCGCAAGGGGGTTGAGACTTCAAGTTTCCTTTCTCTCCCTCTCACCAGCGGCGTCGAGATCACTTGCGGTCTGCTCGTGTTCTTCTGCTGCCCTCCCATGCCCAGCGCCGCCTGAGACTCTGTGAGGACCATCCTTCCCGCCCTTCACGGTCCCAGCAGGAGACAGAAAGGTGGTGGTGGTGGTGGTGGTGGTGGTGGTGGTGGTGGTGATGATGATGATGATGTGAAGGAGAAGAGAAGGCACCTGAGTTCCCCGTCCCCATGCCCACACGGATCCATCGGACATGTAGCACAGGGCGTGATCATCCCCACAGCACATGCTGCACACGCGAGTCCTCCCCTCCTCCTGCCCCATTGCTTGCTCCGTGCTCAACTCAACTTTACCTACCGACACCATTTAGTCTCCTCCTTTCCCTGCCTCCTCCTCCTCCTCCTCCTCCTCTGCATGGCAAGGCAGCTCACCCGGGCAGGGGTCGAGGTACTGCGGGGTTGACCTTCCCAGCTGCCCGAAGGTGTTGGACCCGCACGAGAGCAGCGAGTCCTCTGTAAGGAGCAGCGAAAATCTCGCTCCTAGCGCCAGGTCCAGCACCCTCTTCCCCAGCAGCTCCTCAAGCACCCGCGGCTCCCAGCGATCGACCGCCTCCTCCTCCCCCAGCTCCATCCTGTGCTCGGTGTACCCGCACTGCCCCTGGTCGTTGGACCCCCACATGAACACCACTCCCTCCTCCGTCAGCCCCCCCGTGTGCTCTGACCCGCAGCAGACCTTGCGGAAGCGCGGCGCGGGATGCGGCAGCATTACCTGCAGGGGAGCAGCGCTGATCGACTGCCGGTGCACTCCTCCTCCTCCATACCCCCACAGCGCCTCCTTGCTGACTCCCAGCTGCCCGTGCTCGTTGCTTCCCCAGCACAGCACCTTCCCTGAGCACGAGACCGCGGCGATGTGGGCGAAACCGCAAGACACCTGCGCGACCAGCGCGTCTCCCTCCTCCTCCACCGACCCCAGCAGCTCCACGGGCAGCGGCTCGGGCACGAAGCTTGCAACGCTCGGCGCTACCCCGCACTGACCGAAGGAGTTGCTCCCCCAGCACAGCACCTGCCCGCTCCAAGTGCACGCGCAAGTGAACTCATGCCCGACCGACACCTGCTGCACGTAGTTGCTCCTCATGCCTCCTCCTCCAACAAGGGTGGGGCAGCGAGGCGCTCCAGAGCTCTCCTGCATGCTGCTGCAGCCTTGACCCCAGGCGAGCACGACGGTCGACTCGGCTCGAGCACAGAGCTGTCTGAAGGACAGCCCCTCATATGCGCGCATGTCCTCCACGATCGCCCTCGCCGCGTCCCCGAACTTGATGTAGAACACGTTCCTCCACAAGTCCTCTGATACCGTCGCGTCCCCCCAGCTCCTGCACACCTGCGCACAGAGCCAGAGGTGACGGGGCTCGTCCAGTCGCATCATGATGCCGTGGAGCGAGTCCATGTCAGCCATCATGCCGTACGACTTGGTCGGCGGCGGCTTTGCCTGCTCTTTCCCTTGCTCCACTTCCACGCACGAGGCTGGACCGCAGTCGTCCATCTCGAATATTGCCTCCCTCATCTTGAGGTTATGAGAGAGTCAGGGATCAGCTGACGAAGAATGAAGGGGGGCAGGAACGACAGAGCAGGTGCAACAAGTGGAGTAGAGGTAGATGATGGAGTGATCAGCAGACTATGGTGTTAGAGTGAATGAAGATAAGGGCCCCAGGAAGAAGAGAGATGTCAGAGGGAGAGGTAAGATGCGAGGGAAGGGCTAGGGAGAGTAGGTCGAGGATGTAGCGATCAAAGATGAGGGCGGAGTATGAGATGGCAGATGGGTGGAGCAATGGTGGAGAGAAGACAGAGTTCAGAGATGGGGAAGCGGAGGACAGGAGGAGGAGGAAGACAGGAGAGGAGGAGGAGGACAGGAGGGGAGGAGGACAGGAGGACAGGAGGAGGAGAAGGACAGGAGGAGGAGGAGGACAGGAGGAGAAGTACTGGGTCAAGGGCAGGGTGTGCAGTAGGAAGGAGTGGCAAGATACAAGGATGGGGTAAGGACCCCTACCCTCTATTCGAACATTCCCCTTGGCGTGATTCTGAGGGTGGTAGAGAGATTCCAAGGGTGGGTGGGTGGACAAGTAGGATTAATAAGCCCCCTAGCGAACCGTTCTATGTTTGTAATTTAAAAATATTTATAGAGAGATTATCTTCGAAAGGATCTCGTTTCGAGTGTTTAATACCTTATGTGTGAGGGCAATTCTGCAGGTGTAGCGACTGAGGGGGTGGTGGTGGTACCTTTTCAAGGCATCACAAGGTAGGTGTGCAGATGATAATGGGAATCTGGGGGGTGGGGGTAAAAATACAAGGGGTCGTCAGTCTGAGATACATCTTTGATGCAAGGGTGGGGTACACGACTTTGTGGCGAACACAATTCAGGGTATGTTTGCAGGGGGTAGGGGTCACAAATTCTTGTTCTAGGGTAGGGTAGGGTGGGGTGGGAAGCAAAGTAGAGACTGTTCCACACAACTTGCAGACATAAAATGAGAAACACACAGGGGAGGGAGGGAGGGAGGGAGGGAGGGAGGGAGCGAGGGAGGGAGGGAGGGAGGGAGGCGGAGGGAGGGAGGGAGCGAGGGAGGGAGGGAGGG